GTTTGGTTTTTATACGATATTCATTTTGACGCAGTCCACAAGAATTCCTTCCTCGTTTCGAGTGAAAAGGTGCAAAGCTTTCGTCCATAATATGATGGACATTATCAGAGCTGGATTTCATTATTGTAAGAGCATCACGTTAACACTAGGCCAAGAACACTATCCGGCTCTATCTTACTTCTTATATAGACTCAATTAAGCTAAATGAAAATTACAAACCTAGATAGATCGATATAGAGTGGTTAGATTAATTAACTTTTATACTGATTCTGGTAATTTTGCTCGAGTGTATGCGTATGTGTATGTGTGCGTGTTGGCGTATATATGCAGTACGGTTGCTAAATCAGAGTTGTTAAAGTTTTAATCTCAGGTTCTGATCCTAAAGACCTAATGACCCAAGAGAAAGCCTTGACTGAGACTGCGTAGGTCCGTCAACAAGTGTGGTTGAGATGGTAATGCTTTTAAGTATGTAAATCAAGTTACGAAACTATTTGTCCTAACCTTTCAGTCTAGGGTCATTAAAATTTAACCCTCTAAGGAATAGCAAGACTGGGGTTGCGTAATCTGACATGTTTACGGACCTACGCAGTCTCAGTCAAGGTTTTCTCTTGGGTCATCAGGTCTTTAGGATCCTAACCTGAGATTAAAACTTTGACAACTCTGATTTAGGAACCGTATGCATATAGACGCTAACACGCACAAATACACATACTCATACAATCGAGCAAAAAAATAAAAATAAAATCAGGACCAGTATGAAAGAAAATTAAGCAAACCACTCTATATCGAGCTATCTAGGTTTTTAATTTTCATTTGGCACAATTGAGTCTATATAAGAAGTAGGATAGAGCCGGATAATGTTCTTGGCCTAGTGTTGCCGTTAGACTCTTACAAGAATGAAACCCAGCTTTGATAATGTCCATAATATAATGTACGAAAGCTCAGCACGTTTTCACTCGAAGTCAGAAAGGAAGTCTCGTGGACTGTGTCAACATGAATATCGTATAAAAGCAAAACGGCCGCAGTACAACGAGATTCATCCGTCCTCATCTGGTGAGATCGACAAACGAATCTTTCCTCTATTCACTTTCATGCAAACTAAAATTCCCCCTAACACTATAAGCACTCATCTTAGATTCTAATCATAATAAGGCCTTGAATGTGGCAAATGGAATTGGCTAAAATTGAGCTTGATTCCTGGAGCGATAGTCTCTTCTGAACTTTTCTAGAAACTTCGAGCCTTCACTACGATCTGAAAGAGTGAACGTATAATATTCGTAGAAAAGTTGGGTTTAGAGGAATCTCTTCATTTATACTTATTTAGCTCACTTCTAATTCGAGTGAAGGCTTGTGAAAAAGAGATTTGCAGATACATCCCACCAGAAGACGATAGCGAATATCTCTTGGCCAGTAGTCGGCTAGTTTTCCCGGATAATTCTCGTCGACGCTGTTATATAGACAATCTTCTTCGATTCCGGTGAAAGAGTGCTATTCTTTCGTCCGGACCAGAGTGAAGTCTTGAAGTTGCTAGAAAAGTTTGCAAGAGTCTTTCTCCTCAGGAATTTATGTCAATTTTGAGCCAGCATATTTTAAATTCACGCCCTTATTATGATTCGAATTCAAATTAACTGGTTCTAGTTAGTTATATCGCACGCGAAATTTCTATTACAAAAAGTTCGTTATGACACATATCCGGTAAGTATATATTTATAAAGGAAATCCGTATTTTTCATTAAGATAATAAATTATGTCATTGATACAATTAATTAATTTAATGGCTTAGGGAGGCCTAATTATTTTATTGTGCAAAGCTTCCACTATCAACCCTAGAGTGTGCAGATTCTTACTTCAAGAAGTAATGACTCTTCAACTATTATTCATATCGAATCTAAATAGTTTCGCTGAATGTACTTGCAGATGTTATCATTCCTCATCAAAAGTCCCATTAAATACTCTTTGATAAAGGTCTGCCTTGGCATTAAATTCACATCTATTCTGTGATCCACTGACGTCCGTGGCTATACAGTTATAGTGCAGGTATCACCACGATGCTCACGATCCGGCTTCGAACCCTTTGACACTGTTTTTGATCCCCAGTCTAGTTCTAAACTGCAGATCACTATGGAATATAAAACCTTGTGAAGACGAAGCTGGGCTAGCCTATATTTTAATCACAGTCTACTTTCGCTGCATATAATTAGTTTGTTGCGAAGAGGTTTACTTCATATGAAAGTTAATGATGAAAAGATTTATTGGTTGATCTTCTCAGAAGACGACAGCCGATTTTCGTTATTATGCAGTCTTTTGGTTTTATACGACGACCATTTTGACGCAGTCCCCGAGATTTGCTCTCTTCTCGTGAAACTGAGCTGTGCTTTCGTTCTTCGTATGACGGACAGGTTTAAAATTGGAACTCACTCCTGCAAATGTATCGGGTATCTTGACCTAGAGTTAACTTGAGACTTTTGTAAGAAAGTATTCCAACTCTGACGATGTCCGTGATATAATGAACGACAACTCAGCCCAGTTTAATGCGAAACAAAGGAGGATGTTTCGTGGATGTCGTATTAAAACCAAATGGCTGCAGAATAACGGTATCAGCCATCGTCTTCTGATAAGATATACCAACGAATCTCTTCATCATACACCTTAATACAAAATAAAGGTCTGCACAATAATGTTATCTTAAGTGATTCATCTAAACCTAGCTACTTTCCGTATAAACGAGTTTAACTCGTTCTCCAAACTTAGTCTTATTGTCAATGTGACCTGAAAAAGTGCATCTTTTCCAGAGTCCCCTGCCATTGTAGTCACAATTTCTCATTTGCTGTATATAGTAAGGGGAGGAATGGATCTACCATAAAATAAATTCTACGAGTATTTATAGTTAAATGAGATGTATTAGCCCAATTTCGTTTAAGACGATGAAGGATTGGTGGAAGAATTTTCCCACAATGCTATGAGTTAAGCTGAAGTTTCCATTGAATTTCACATAGCCTTGTTTTCCCAAAAGTTGTTTTCATCCAGGGTAATCTGCGACCAGACTACAGTTTCGACCTCGCATCGGTCTTATCAACACCTTCAGCGGGAGTCGAACTGCGACAGTGCAGGATGGGAGCTTGACACGCTAAACACTCGGCAACACTGCCACGAGTGCCTTTGGGTTACAGGGAAAATGTGAATTTTCAAGGAAGACCAGGCCTTTTGCCATATCATATTCTTTGGTGGGATTGTCGATGAAGCTTAATGCGAAAAATATAGTATAGTAGTCGATTGTTATAGCAAAACATACGTTTGCTTCATCGACAATCCCACCAAAGAATATGATATGGCAAAAGGCCTGGCCTTCCTTGAAAATTCACATTTTCCCTGTGACCCAAAGGCACTCGTGGCAGTGTGGCCGAGTGGCTAGCGTGTCAAGCTCCCATCCTGAACTGTCGCGGTTCGACTCCCGCTGGGGGTGCTGATAAGACCGATGCGAGGCCGAAACTGCCGTCCACTGGTGCCTGGATGAGAACAACTTTTGTTAAAGCAAGGCTATGTGAAATTCAATGGAAACGTCAGCTCAACTCATACCATTATGGGAAAATTCTTCTTCTACCAGTCCTTCATCACCTTAAACGAAATAGGGTGAACACATCTCATATTACTGATTTACTGGTAGTCTCGAAACTCTACTTAAATACTAATAAATGAAACTTGTTGGCTTTATGATGCCATTGCATTTCACTTAGGATTGCTCCATAAAAGGCTATTACATCTACGGTGGACTTCAGTTTCGACTTCGCCTAGGTCTGATCAGCATCCCCAACGAGATTCGATACCGGTTCGGGAGTATCGCGGCGCTGCTTCCACTCCACTGCACAACAAGGCATCAGGTACTACTGATTCACATGCGGCATTCAAGGCAGGCCAGTGATTATCGATTAAGCAAACATGTGTTTGCCATTTCACTTGACGACATTACTTAATTTAGATGTGAATAGTTGTAGAGACTGTCCATAGTTCTTGACATCGTGGGGTCTACTCAACTCATTATTGAAACACCAGACTAGCAGTCGCAAAATCCCCTTGAGCGACCTATGATGACTAAGTTCTTTTGCCAAAATAACTGCTAGTCTCGAAATCTACTTGCTATGAAATTATTTTTCCCTGTGCAAAGGAGAGTTGAGCTTCGAGGAATCTCTTGCTATTTAATTGTTGAGAAATCCGCATCTCTTCACCGCACACTTTTACTCAAAATGAAAGTGGCATCAGCAATTATTTTAGGCGGTTTTGGAAGGCCTACTCCTATTGTACCCTTTTTTGCCTACAGATTGGTGGGCTGGCTGTAGCCAATGGTCCGGACACCAGTGACCAGTTGGTCGTCTTCCATCGAGGCCAAAACATCTGGCAGACGGGTTCGTTTGACGCCACCTACCGGTACACCGGTGATCGCAGCCTCGCAGGCCGTGTCATCAGTCCACTTTTACTCGTCGACTCGGTCTCTGGCCATGTCGCCGAGGTGTTTGGCAGCGGTCAATTTGTCCTGCCACATGGCGTCTTCGTGCAGCACAACGGCCCTCCGGGCCAACGTAAACCCACTGCTCTTTGGTTGACGGATGTCGCCTTGCATCAGGTCTTCAAATTCACCTGGGCCAACTGGGAGCGGCCTACCATCACCCTTGGTCGGGCCTTTGAACCAGGCGCCACGAATGAAGCATTTTGTCAACCTGCTGATGTTCTCGTGGCAAGCACTGTATGTTTTCAAATGAACTGACAATATTGTCTCTTGACTATGAGCCCGTGCATACTTAAATATACACACAGGCGCACTAATGTATATCTATATAGATATATATGGTTAAATGAAATTTAGACTTTTCTACACCGCAGTTAGTTAATTTGTATTATGAGTAGATAATTCAAGGAAACGTTAGTATTATTAACTTTTTGTAAGCTCGAGGTTGCCATTTTAATATTTACTTGCTGTGATGAGGTCAGTCACTTGACAGATGAAGCCCCAACTGGTATTCACCGTTCTCGATAGAGGGTTTCTCGAGGATTCGGGGATTCTGAACGTTCCGATAAACCTTAACGACAGTAGGAGAACCAGTCATGCATAAACTTTCACTTGAAGTTAAGCTCAAGCCCACACCAAAGCCATAATTTGATAGCTTTTACTTCTCATGTTGACAAATTCGCTTATATATTATGGTTATTAAGTCATTTGTAGATATCTCATTATATAGGTGTCTGAACCTAGCTGGGTGCTCAAGCTGGAACCCGAATAAATTACACGGGATGGACTTTGCGAATTTTTTGCTTTAATAAAGTTTCCAACATTAGTTAATCTCAACAATGCCAGTCTACACAATTCTAAATCTTGGTCATTGTTCCTTTTAATTATAACCTGTAATCTTTGGCAATTTCGGAACGAAATGAAATGCTAAGTCGATATAGCTTCATTTAACAACTAATTTAACTAAGTAAGGTTGAATCGTAGGCTCAATAGCAGCGTCGCGTTTACTGAAGTCACGACAGATGGAACTAAATTTACGTCTCATCAATTAACTGAAA